CTGAGGCGTCCTGGGCCCACTGAGTCAGAAATAGTTCACTCTAGTGTTGGCAGTCCAGATCCACCCGAGACACTTTAATCTTAGCATCTCAATCCACCTGTTGTCCCTACAACATGTCAGGAACTGTCAGTGAAGAGAACGTGCTGCTTTTCATTTTCTGGGAGCTGATAATATGGTGGGGCCTCCTCAGCATGTGGCTCCTCCTCCTCTGATGATGATAGTCTGAAATTTTCACCTTTAGGCCAGTTTGTGACAACTTCCAAGATCCCTGACTATCTGGGGTTTCTGTGTGATCTTGCTGTGTGATCAGAGCCATCCACTGGCTCCACGTGGCATCATTGGCATGATGTGTGGAAGGGACTTTCCCTTTCAACATCCAGCCCAGCACTGGCAGTCAGGGTGCCAGGAAGAGCTGTGCTTCAGTGCCAATCACTTCTGAAGCAGTTCAAACCCTTTCAGAAGCTGCCAGGATCTCTTCTTCCAGAGGGGGTGTAACAGGCCTTGGATCCTTTGTATCCCAAAACTCCAGAATCCCAGGGATAATCCTCGAGTCTCCCAAGATACTTTCTGCCAGAGGCTCCAGGAAGGACCATTCTCAAGGGTCTCTGGAGCTGCTGGGGTTGGGGGCATTGATGTCCAGCTTGCCTCCCTCTCCTCCTCACCATTGTCCCCACTGCACAGGGTACATTTCCCACTGGAAAAACAGGGATTTGGGGGTGAAAAGCCATTTTTTTTGATGGGGAATTGTCGGAGGACAGAAATTGTGTGAAAAATTTCTATTGCATTTCGGAGACCTTTGCCTTGGCATTGGTGGGTGCAGACAGTAAAAAATACTGCACCACTAATATGGCTGCAGGCCTTGTGCCAAGGTGAAGGAGGAATTCTTTTGGCAGGAAAACAAATTTTATGGACACCTGCTGTGGTCCAATTAATACTGTACAGCTCAGTGTGTTTTCCTTATGTATCCAATGTAACCTGGGAAAGAATCACATGTCTCTGTGTCACAAGCAGCATATAAGCTGCGTTTCCTCTAATAAAGCGGATATTTTTGCCAATCATATTGATTTGTGAGCATTTCTGTCTGTCCCTCTCTGCCGTTAGGGAATGTCCCTGGGGGTCATGGTTGCACCAGGGTGAGGCTGCTCTAGGGCAGCTGTTCTCTTACCTTGGAGCTTTCCTCCTCCTCCTCCCACTCCCCCTCCTTGCCGTCATCCTCCCTGTGTAGGGCATATTCCCCAGAGAAAAAACAGTGAGCTGGGGGCAGAAAACTGCTTTTCTGAGAGGGAGCCTCCCTGGGGGTCCTGATCATGCCAGGACATCCTTCCTCCTCCCCCCTCTCCATGTCCTTCTCCTCCTCCTCATTGCCCAGGGCACATTCCCCAGAGGAAACCCAGTGATTTTGGGGCACAAAACTGTTTTTCTGAGGGGGAATCTCCCCAGGGATCCCAGCCATGTCAGGACAGCCTTCCTCCCTGACCACCCCCTCCTCCTCCTCCTCCTCTTTCTCCTCACTGCTCAGGGCACATTCCCCAGAGATAAAATCACGATTTGGGGGCAGAAAGCTGCTGTTCTGAGGGGGAACCTCCCTGGGGGTCCCTGTTGTGCCTCTCTCCCTCTCCCTGTCCTCCTCCTCCTCATCCCCGCCACTCAGGGCACCCCTGAGCTTGGCCCAGAAGAGGGGCCGGGCAAGAGGCTCGCTGGGCCAGCGCAGGTGGGTGCGGCGCAGCAGCACACGGCGCATGCGGTGGAAGGCTGAGAGCTCAGCCTCAGGGATGTCCTCGAGGAAGACGAGCACAAGGACATCACGCAGCTCGTCGAAGAGGCGGTAGCTGGCGAGCTGGATCTCCAGCGAGCACCACTCGCTGCGCAGGTACCCGCGGCTCACCACGCACACCGTGCGCCGGCTGTTGTACACAGCATCCACGATGTTGTCCACAATGGCGCGGCCGGGGCGGAAGTCACGGTGGTGAAGGCAGAGCCGCAGGGCCCCGTGCTCCAGCTCAGGCACCAGCTCCTCCAGCACCCAGCGCTCGTCCGCAGAGTTGTAGGACACGAAGGTGTCGTAGGCGTAGCGGCGCCGCTCCCGCCGCCAGTGCCCACGCGCCCACGCCCGCAGCAGGTACAGGTGGTAGCGCAGCCGCCAGTACCCGCGGTGGTGCAGCAGCGGCAGCACCAGCAGTAGCAGCACGGCCGGTGCTGTCCCTGCGAACAGGTACCGCCCCATGTCCAGGTAGCACACACGTGTGTCGAAGCTGTGCAGGTATGCCGGGGCCCCGCCTGCCTCCCCGCAGGTGTAGTTGTACAGGTAGACCACCTGCACAGGTCCCTGTGCCAGCCATGCTGGCAGCCAGACGTTGGCACAGCTGCAGCTCAGCGGGCATTTGCGCAGGTCTAGGTAGCGCAGGGCAGGCAGGCGTGTGGTAAGTGCCGTGTCCAGCCCGCGCAGCTCGTTCTTGGCCAGGCGCAGCTCCTCCAACTGTGTCAGATTGCCAAAGACCTCGGGGCCGAGCCCACGCAGCCCCGCGCTCTCCAGGTCCAGACTGCGCAGGCGGCTCAGGTTCTTGAAGACGCCGGCAGGCAGGGCACCCATCCCACCACTGCCATCGGCCAGTGTCAGGTACCGTAGCTGCACCAGGTCATCGAAGGCGTCGGCAGGCACAGCCGAGAGTGCGTTCTGTGACAGGTACAGTGAGCGCAGGGCACCCAAGCCCTGGAAGAAGCGATGTGGGACCACGCGCAGCCCGTACGGCTGCTGCGCCTGCAGCTTCAGGTCATAGAGTCGGTGCAGGTGGCGGAAGGGTGGTGGCTGCCGCGGGTGCCTGCTCAGGTAGCGCAGTGCATTGGCACGCAGGTCCAGCACGCCCAGTGTGGTCTGCACTGGCCGGAACGCCACCTCGCTCACCTCCAGCAGCCGGTTGCGGTCCAGGTAGAGCCGGCACAGCTGAGGCAGCCCCTGGAGTGCGGCGGCCGCCAAGTGCCGCAGGTTGTTGCCACCCAGGTCAAGGGTCTGCAGGCGGTCGAGGCCCCTGAAGGCACCAGGGAAGAGCACAGCCACGCGGTTGTTGCGCAGGTTGAGATCACGCAGCCGGTGCAGGTTGGCAAAGGAGCCAGGCAGGAGGTCGGTGAGCAGGTTGTTGTCGAGTCGCAGGTGCCGCAGGTTGTGGAGTCCCCACAGCGCCGCACGGTCCAGCCGCGCCAGCCCGTTCACGTCCAGCCGCAGCCGCCGCAGTGCTGGAGTGTTGGCGAAGGCACGGGGACCGGCCACCAGGATGCGGTTGAAGCGCAGGGACACGTTGTGGAGCCGCCGCAGCACTGGGGCCCCGTGGCACGACGGCAGCCACCGCAGCAGGTTGTGCTCGGCCACCAGCTCACCCAGTGCCGCGCGCTGTGCCGGGCCCAGCAGCTGCCCCACGCAGCTCAAATTCTGCAGCCGGTTGCCAGATATGTCCAGGGCACCCAGCACCGGGCAGTCAGCCAGTGCATTGGCAGGCATCGCTGCCAGCCCCATGTGCCGCAGCTGCAGCCGCTGCAGCCACGGCCCTGCAAGGTGCTGGCACAGCTCGGTCAAGCCCCCTGCGCCCACCTGCAGGCCTGACACGTCCACGCTCCGCGGAGGTACCACCCTCAGCAGCCGTGCCACGTCCAGTGGGTTCCCAGCCAGGTGCAGCCGTGTCAGGTTGTGCAGGTGCAGCTGGCCAAGGGGCGCTGGGTCCGAGATGTTGTTGTAGGACAGGTCGAGCACCCGCAGCCCCTCGGGCAGCACCTCGGGGGTCGCCCCTGACAGAGCCCCGAGGGAGTTGTTGCAGAGCAGCAGGACCCTCAGTGCAGGTGGCAGCCCCGGCGCCAGCGCTGACAGGGTGTTGCCACACAGGTCGAGCAGATCCAGGCGGGGAAGGTGCCCCACAGCCGTGGCCACGGGGCCCAGAGCACTCAACCGGCCCCCCCGCAGCCGCAGTGTGGCCAGCATGGGCACCGCCCGCAGGGCCCCCGGGGCCACAGCGAGCAGCGGGTTGTGGTCCAGCCGCAGCGTGCTCAGGTTGCCCAGCCCAGTGAAGACTCCCGTGGGCAGCACTGACAGGTGGTTGTGGGCCAGGTCCAGGTGGGCCAGTGCCAGCAGCCCGCAGAAAGCCCCCCGGGCCAGCAACTCCAGCCGGTTGTGGGTCAGGTCGAGGGTGCGGAGCCGCGGGAGGTGGGCAAAGGCGTCAGGGGGCACCTGGTGCAGGGTGTTGACCGAGAGGTTGAGGGAGGTGGTGTTGGCGGGGAGGTCACCCACGGCAGCCCCCACAGTGGTCAGGAACCGCTGGACGCAGCGGAACAGCCCCGGGTCCCATGGAGCCTGGATGCAGTTGCGGAAGCCATAGGGAGAGATGCCCATGGGCACTGTCACCAGTGTCACCAGTGTCACCAGCAGTGGGGCGTACATCCTGCCCTGTCCTGGGGGGATCCTGAGAGGCAGGAGAGGGGGAGAGAGGAGTGAGGGATGTCTTCAGCAACTGAGGGACCCCCCTCAGGTCTCAGGGCCTCTCCCACACACCACCCCAGGGACCCCCCCTCACAGACTCCAGGGAGCCCCCCAAGCACCCTGGGACACCCCCCCTAGCACCCCAGGGACCCCTCATCCACACTCTAGGGACCCCCCTGTCCCCCAGTCCCCAGGGATTTTGGGGACCCCCATCTTCCCCCCGGCAGGATCCCACCGTGCTGCCGCCTCAGCCTCAAGCGATTTTGGGGCAGAAAAGGGAAGTTTTGGGTATTGTTTTGTGTCACCGCTTCCCTCTCCCCCACCCCCTCCCCCGTGACGTGACTGGAGGCGGCCCCTGCACAAATGGATTTGGGTGTCCCCAAAGAGGCTGGGGGGGGGGCACAGCTGGGTCACCCCCTCCTGGTGAGCCCCTGTGGGGGTCCCTGGGACCCCCAGTCCCGTGCCCTTCTCCCCCCCTTAATTCCTGCTCCCCCCCCGCCTGCTCTTGGTTCCTCTTCCCCCACCCCCCCAAACCGACCTACCTGGTTTTGGTTCCTCGGGGGAAGTACTGAGTTATACTGGTCTCCAGTGGGCTGTACTGGGTTGTACTGGTGAATTTGGGTAGCTGGGGGGGGCAATGGAGGGGCTCAGAGGGGCTGCAGGGACTGGTGTACATCAGGGTCTGTGGGCATATTGCGATCTGGGAGGGTTATAGGGGGCTGGGGGGACCCTGGGGGGCCGCAGGGATTGGGATGTGTCAGAGTCTGGGATACTGGGTTCTGGGGGGGTTATAAGGGTGCTGGGAGGCATTGGATGGGGGGGTGTATTGCATTCTGGGGGGGTTACGGAGGTCAAGGGGGGCTATTGGGGTCTGGGGGTGTCTCTTAGGCTACAGACATTGGGGTGCATTGGGGTCTGGGGGTTCAGGGATCTGGAAGTGCAGGGGGGGAGGCCCTGGGGTTTCAGTAGGGATCCCTGAGGTGTGTTTAGAGGTCCCTGGTCCCCACCCTGTGATGGGGGTCCCTGAGGTGCAAGGGGGGGGTTCCTGGGGTGCCAGGTGTGTCCCTGGGGTGTTTTTAGGGGTCCCTGAGGTTTGAGGGTCTTGTTTCCAAGCCTATGCCCCACCCCCCTGAAGAACTGACCCCGCCCATAAAGTGAACCCCTAAGCCCCGCCCCCCACAACCCCTCCCCCTACACAGCCCCACCACTATAAAAGGAACCCCTTAAACACTGAGACACTCCTGTCCCCGCCGGTGTCCCCCATCCCAATCTCTCCAGAGCCCCCATGGTGGCACCTGCCTCCCCCAGATCCCCCCCTCCCCAGGTGTTCCCCATCCCAATCTCCCCAGAGCCCTCCCCCCTCCCACTTCTTTCCCTTTATCCAGCAGCTCTTGGAGGGTCACAGACATTTATTGGGGTGTAGCAGACCTGGGGGGATTCCCAAAGTGGGGGGTCATGGACAGGGGTCTCCAATAATCTGAGGGGTGCTAGAGTCAAGAAGGGGACCCCACCCTGGGCTGGGACCCTGGGAGGGTTGGTGGGGATCCCGGGATGGGGGTCCCGTGGGGGGGCTGGGGAGGAGTCCCAGGGTGAGGGGTCTGTGCGGGGGATGTCCCATGGGGACAACCCTTGGAGAGGGGGCTCTGGGCTTCAAGATCCCCTGGGGGTGGGTCCTGGGGGTACACTCAGGGGGATCCTAGTGTGGGGGGCCCCCACAGGGTGGGGCAGTGTCTCAGCACAATGGTCCCATAGGAGCCCCCAATAAAATCAGGGGTGTGAGGCTCTCATTCCCCCCAGGCTGGGGGTGTTGAGGGGTGTGTACCAGTGCAGGGTGGGGGTCCCCATTCAGATGCCCCCCCCACTCAGGCCCTCGCAGGCGCCGAACCAGCTGCAGGTCCTTGGGGAACAGGGTGACCCTGCGGGCGTGCAGCGAGCACAGGTATGCATCCTCCAGCAGTCTCACGATGAAGGCCTCTGCTGCCTGCACCCCAAAAAAATCAGAGGGAGCCCCCAAACCCCCCCGATTTCCCTCAGCCATCCTCAGGAGACAGCGACCCCCAAAACCCCCAGACACCCTGTCCAAACCCACCCACAGGGGACTGGGGGAAATGAAACATCCTGTGGCCCTAAATGGGTGAGGGGCCCCCTTGTGCCCTGACAGCCCCCCCCCAGCACCCATAGGTGCCCCAGAAATCTTCTTAACATCCGTGGTCCCCTACCCCAGCACCCATAGAACCCCCTCACCCCCGCTGAGACCCCCTCACATCCATGGGGACCTTCCCAGACTCTCCCCCTCAGCTCCCAGGAGACCCCCCTCACCAAACCTTTCAGCTCCCACAGGCCCCATCCAGCCCCCCTCAGCACCCAGAGACCTTCCTGGATCCCTCAGCCCCCAAGGACCCCTCAGCACCCATAGGACCCTCCCACCCTCATGGGAACACCCTAGCACCCATGGGATCCCTTCAGCCCCTCTGGGACCCCCCACCCAGTACCCCCAGGTCTCCCACAAGCCCCCATAGGACCCTCCTATTCCCCCCTCATTTCCCCAGGACCCCCCCAGCCCCCTGGGCTCCCCCCCCTCCTGTAGGGGCCACCGGGGCCAGGCGCTGCCAGCGATAATCGCCCCCCCGGGTGAAAAGCAGGCACAGCTCCCGCACCTGGGACAGGGGGGGGACATGGGGACAGCTCAGGGGACACAGGGACATGGAGGGGACATAGGGACACAGGGACATGTGGGGGACATGGGGACAGCTCAGGGGACACAGGGACATGGGGGAAACGTGGAGACAGCAGGGGACACGGGGAGTGGGGGGACAGTGGGACAACATGAGGGGGATATGGGGACACCTTGGGCTGGGGCTACCACCCTGGGGACATCCTGGGACTCCCTGGTTGTCACCCTGGACACACTCTGGGGACACCCCAGGGACAGGGACGCTCTGGGGATATCTTGGGGATGCCCTGGGGAGTGAGGTCACGGGGACATCATGAGGGGGACACCCTGGGGATACCCCAGGCACAGAGACATGGGGACACCACCCTGAGGACATCCCAGGAGGGGGATCGGGGGACACAGTGACACTTTGGGGGGGTCCCAGATGGTGTTTGGGTGGGTCCCAGGGCAGGTTGAAGGGTTCTAGGTTGGATTTGGGGGGACCCCAGGGGGAGTTTGGGTTGGATTTGAAGGGATCCTGGGGATTGTTTGAGGGGTCCCAGGGGGTGCTTGAGGGGGGGCCAGGGAGGATTTGGGCTGTCAGGAGATTTCAGGGTGGACTTAGGGGTCTCGGGGAGTGCTTAGGGAGTCCCAGGGTGGATTTGGGAGGTTCTGAGAGGGGCTGGAGGGTCCCAGCAAGGTCCCCGGGGAGTTTGGGGGGGGTTCGGGGGGGGACTTGGGGGTCCTAGAGGTTGGTTTGGGGGTCCCAGGGTAGTGTTGGGCTTTTGGGGTCGGTTTTTTGGGGTCTCACCAGGTGGGCAAAGGGGACAGGCTGCAGCAGCAGGCAGGTGCCCATGGGTGGGTTTAGAGGTCCCAGGGTGTGTCTGGGGTCAGTTTGGGGGTCCCAGGGTGGGTTTTGGGGTCTCACCAGGAAGGTGAAGGACCCAGGTCGCAGCAGCAGGCGGGGGCCCAGGAGTGGGTGTTGGAGGGCAAGGGTTGGTTTGGGGGTCCCAGGGGTTGGTTTGGGGGTGCAGGGCTTGGTTTGAGGCGCAGGAGTGGGTGTTGGGTTTGGGGGTCAGTTGGGGGTCTCACCAGCCGTGAGAAGGGCCCAGGCCTAAGCAGCAGGCAGGTGCCCAGGGGTGGTTTTGGAGGTCCCAGGGTGTGTTTGGGGGTCAGTTTGGGGGTCCCAGG